CAACGTAGAAGGAAGGCATTAAGATTTTCGTCGCTGTGGCTATCAGCCGTTTAGCTCAGTGGCTAGAGCGTCAGGCCGCGAATGCCGAAGACGTGGGTTCGATTCCCACAGCGGCGACAATCTTTTCGTACTTTTTCTACATGTTTTAAAAAGGAATTTTTCAAAGACAGATATACATAAAATATTTATTTAAATTATAGCCTATGTCTCATTCTGATGTATAAGCTATATTATTGTAAAGTTTCATCAAAATCCATTTAGTAGTATTTGCGTTAAAGAGTAACAAACATCCCTCCATACATACAAACATTTGCCTGTATAATATTAGTAAGGAAGTAAGGATTTGACGACTTTGTTCAAATGTGGATTTCCTTACTTAGTCTGTATGGGATTGAAGTAAGAGCTGATAGAACAAAATTGTGAAACCTTTTTGCTATTATGGTTACAGATTTCCGTTTTTCCCTAAAGCTCGCGCGCTTTTTTTTCGCTCCTCCATATTCAATTAAGCTCTATTGTTGCCTCTCGCTCTCTTATTTTTTTTGTCTCCCTCACCGGGCGTCAGCCATTTTGCCGGCGGCGTTCGATCTATACATAATTCAAACATTATTTATGGTCGTTTATAGCAACACGCTGGTCGGACGGCGCGGCAAAAAATGGCCGCTTTACGGGTTTTTGTAGTTCGCTTGTCTAGCCGTGGCAATGAAGGTTTTTTTTTGGTCAGACATCTCCGTTTTATCCCTAAGGTGAAATGAATTCAGCGAACACCTCGAAGTGATCAGATTCGAGCGCGGAACTAGATGTAATGTTTGGAGCAGCTCAAATATTGAGTGTGTTTGTCGAAGACAATTGCAATTGAGATCTATCACTAAAAATATTATCAAAGGAGTTTTACGATGATTGATTGTTAATGACTTTGTTAACTTTCCCAGTATATTAAAATCATTCAATGTTAAGTTTTTGTAAGGAAGCATGAACACTTTGCAAAAATTAATATAGTTTTGCAGGGAGTTCTGGGTCCCATAAATCAACACCTAGATCCGTGCCTGATTAAATCTGCAAATTAGTCTTGGGTAACGAGAAACGGATTTACGTGAATTCGAGTTTTGCTTATGTTGGTACCAGTTTAAGTAAAACTGTTTAATTGAGTAGTTTGCACCAAATTATAATTATGCAGAGGTTAGAAAAGAGATAGAAATATCTACAAACTGTCACTTCTTTAATTCCTGACCGAGTAGAAAGAGTTACCGAGCTTGATTCAGAAACGATATATCCACAATATACACCAGCCAGCCAGCCAACAAAATTTGTAGAAAAAACAAGCAAACTTTCTACAAATTAAAATATTTTATCATAAATGCATACTGCAGTACTATAAAAAATTTTAATTCATACTTCAGCCAATTCGAAAACGTTGTGATCATTAAATTTAAATTGTCAGCGAGAAATTGTAATTGAAAGCGAGATCGACAGACAGAATTACTTTCGCAATAATAATATTGGTATGGAAGTATGGATAGCGAAGGCGGATTCGTGCGTTGTAAAATCGCAGTATTTGATCGTTAAAGCTGGCTAACAGACGATTTCCAGGAGTGACGCCGTAAATCTAATTAAAAACAAAACACGCTCCATTAATGTGGCGCAGTATAAGGGTGCGGTGCAATCAGCTGTCGCGAGCCAGGGGCGTGGCGGCACACCCATCGACAATTAGAACCAGCAAATTGCCCTAATGAATTTAAAACTTGGAGCGCCTGAAAGCTTTCGTTATGATTAGCGAGAGATCACAGACCAACCTCAACATGAAACAAGTAAATTTTTTTACTAACAAAAAACCAAACCGCCTTCAAATATCTCGCTCTGTATTGATGTTATAATTGATTTTCAGGAGTTTCCTTAGTATCTCCGCAATCCACAATCCAATACCAATGAAATTAATATGGGACCACATGGGAAGCACCAGCTTTCAAATAAAAAAAGAATCATCAAAATCTGTTTCCCCAGTCGAAAGTTCTGAGGTAACAAACATAAAAAAATACAGTCGAATTGAGAGCATCTGTACAGAGGATATTGGGGCATAGTCCACCACACGACACCACAGATGATTGGCAAGCATAACATATTTTCCCTATCTTTATCAGGGCCGCGTAACAGTGTTCGCTGTTGCACAAATGGGCAGGTCCGTCCGGGTTAGTACCACGACCTCACGGAAGACCGGCGTGAAGTAGAAGTGTTACACTTTTGCGTTTTGTCTGGTGCATGATGTAGCCTGGGCCCACTTTATTAAAAGGTGCCAACGCATCTGCAACCCTACGGGTGTTGCAAATGTCAATGGGCGGCGGTTATTACTTGATATAATAATAATAATAATAATCGTTTATTTGTCAAAATATACATACACTGCACGAATTATTTAAAGAGCAACCTAAATAGAAAAAAAAAAAAAACAATTATTAAGACAAAATGGTCAAGGACTCAAGTTGGATATCAGGTGAACCAGCTCGTTTGCCACTTTGTCACATTAAAAAAAATTAAAAAGTGAGCGTTCGGACACTGAGCTTTATGAGGTGGCAAAAGAGAAAGTTGTTCACCGGGTGGTAGGTAACCACCTCCCGTGGTCGCCCTCAATACCGTTCCGCCATCCTGGTTCTGCCAACCTTAAAGAGATCAGATCTCCGGTTACCCCGGTCACAGGACGATACGCCATCATATGAATACTTTCACTTTACGCCGGCCTTTTGTGAGGTCCCTGTTTAAGCAGCCTAAACTTGCAACAGCAGAATCTTTTGTTACACTTTGCCACGGTAGAAGTATAACCTGTTGCTTATCCAGTCTCGCTAGCAGCGGGTAACAAGACATCGTTAATTTTTACCCGATCTGCGGCCGACCCGAAACCTGATTCAATTGTTGCAAATCCTTTAATTTATATTTAAAAAAAAAAAAAAAAACATTGCCCTTACTTTAAGATAACGTTACCTGTTTTGTGAGGACGTTTTACAAACATATATTTCACGCAGACAAACACCCAGATGCGAAACAACTATCTGTGGGTCAAACTAATATTTGTCCCGTGTGGGGATCGAACCCACGACCCCCGACCCCGACCTTGGTAGTACAGCCAGTACCTTGGCAACTGCGCCACGGAGTCATCAAAATGGAAATGTTAGAGAATGATTTCTGAGCATAAGAAAACCGAAAGGCGGATGACTTTTCTTGCACCAACATTTTCATTTGAATCTGCGTTTATAGATATATATATCGTGACTTCAGATAAAAGGCAATAAAATATTAAAACAGGAACTGTTCGAATATGTAACTTTTAATTTTAAGATTTATTCAAATGATGCGCAGAAATAGTAAGCACTGAAACTTAACGGCTAACTGTGTTTTAAAATTATTAGGTTTTTGAAAATTAAATAAAAATTCTGTTTAATAGAAAAGAAAATTACCAAACTTCACACAAATGTATTTTTAATTGCGCCTCTGCCCTCTTCACGAATGATTCCGAGTATTTTAATATGTTGCTTACGCATCAAGGTTGCGTCTCGCGTTTGCTTTCATTAATTAGACATGCAAATTATACCTAGACCCGTCGGTTCGGCTACCGCGCCGCATGACACAGGTAATGGTAATCGGCGGGATAATGAACTCTGTTCATTAATTCTTTATCGCTTTGCGGTATTGCGCCGCGCCGTAACGTTTCCGAGCGAAAGCAAATTATGCACATAATGGCCTCTATGTCATTATGTCAGCCGTTTTGCTGTTCAAAATGGCTGTCTTACGTCAATATGGCGGATCGAATGACGTTCCGTTCCCGCCAATTTGTACAATCTTGCTATTTTGAAATTGTAATCTATCGGGAAAATTAAAACTTGTAGAAAAAGTACGAAAAGATTGTCGCCACTGTGGGAATCGAACCAAATCTACAAGTTTTAATGTTTAATCTTAAGTGCAGAGATTGGCACTATAAAAAAAAAAAAAACTTTAAATTTCTATCGGGAATAGTTTAATTAACAATCGCCAAAATGTAAAAGGAGTTTAAAAAATAAGAATTTATCAGAGGTTTTTTTTATCTGCTGTGTCCAATTAATCATCATAAATGTTATTGTTATACGCCGAAAAACCTTAATTATAAAAAAGCTTGAACTTAAATTTGGTTGAGACACGCAACAGTCGCATGAACGTGCTAGCTTCAATTTAGTGCATTGGATAGTAAAGACTCAATTCATTCATTTTCATTAGTGACGCTAAATTGAATAGTAAAATGTCAGGAGTATCAATTAACGCAATATCAACGTCTGGGTTCCGATATTACAAACAACGGTTGGTTCTCCGTGACATATCACGATAGAACGTCGCTTCCATGAACCAAACGAAACGGAAATTCCCAACAAATCAGTCGGCGGTTCAACTGAACTAAACAGAATTGACGTTTTGTAACATTGTAATAGAAAGTCGGTTGTACAGTTGATTACCATGAGTAAAACATAAACTAAGCTTACGTACGGTAAATAGTGTACAGTAGATGGTAGATACATTTCAATTTAAAGCGTATTAAATAGTATTCCTATTTTTATTCTGAAATGAAAAACAAGAGAACCGGGCTCGGTTTATAATTTAATACAAAAAATTTAATATACATTTTTCCCGGTTCCTCTCTGGTCAGTCTAAATTCGAAAACCCATGGCAGATTTTGACATTTATAAATGTAAAAAAAGTATACGAGTATATGCCCAAAAAATTACTTTGACATTTTGTTTATCGTTGGATTTTGGATAGAAATTGAGATAATAAACTGGAACACGAATCTACATAAGTAGCGACCTTTAACGAGAGCTTTAAATGGTCGCCACTACTGGTGCCCGGTGGTCAAGATTTCCCATGTGCTGAACCACTCACGTTTTTGTCTCTCACTTTATTTTAACACACACACACAAACGCACACGCACACACATATATTATAGATGTAATATTTAAAAATAATAGACCACTTACCATGATAATTAAAGATACAAAGTCGGCACCCTCTTCTGAGCTCCAAGCGACAGTTTGTTCCCGATTTTCTTGTAGCTCTCGTTTTTATTTCTACATTTTGGTTTCTCGTTCGCTTCCACCGGGCACCCTTTGAGCTCCCACACCAGGTTGGTTAGGGATTTGGGCCTGCTAAGCTTCCTGCACCTTTTCTCTGGCAACTTTGGACCGTTCCCGGAGTCACCCGACGTCCTGCCGCCCGAGTGGCTCGAGTCCAGAGTTCCATCCAACTCCATGGCCTGGTGTATGTTTGAGAGGCTTTTGTACCTTATATTGAAGATGGGGGAATCCCCTTTAGTTAGCGGTCTTATCGGACTAGTTACAGGACTAGGGGTCTCCTTGGTCGGGGAGTGACTTTTCTGACTGAAGACCATTCGGCTCTTGTTGTTGCTCACGCTGTTTTTAATGTAAAGCTTGGGTAGGTTGTTCGCTGCGGGCGCAACTGAGCACTTCTCCTTGTACACCGTGACCGGTGTCTCTTTGGGTGTAACCGCCGTTTTACGTGTCCTTTTCTCCGCTTTCTGTGCGTTCAGAGGTTTCTTCGTAGGTATCGTCTCGATTGGTGGCGGCTCCGGTTTGATCTCGGTTATGAGCGGCATGTGTATCGGCGTGGCGGCGGGTGACGCCGGTGCGGACTCGTGGCGAGTGGGCTCGTTGGAGTACGATGCCTTGATGTTCTTCGGGAGCGGCGCGAAGCCCCTCACGTAGTCGTAGATCTGGTCGATCTCGTCATACTCGTCTGGGATGCTATTATCGTCTCTGTGGCTGCTGTATATGTGGTTGTGGCGCGACATGTGCTTGTGTTGGTTAGCTGTGTCGGACGACATGCTCCTCCTTAGGAAGTACCCCGTCTTGATCAGCGGCGGCGCGTGTAGTGGTGCACTCAGCAGCCGCTTGGGGTCGCCCAATTTGCCGTCGAGTACGTGTATCCGATCGACCACTTCGACGAGTAAACGGTTGCATTTCTCCACCAGCCTCGAGAACTCCATGAAGTTCTTAATGTGCTCCTCGTTCTTGCACCTCAGCATTTTTAGCGGTGCCGCCAGTGGCAGCGCGATCAGTGCGTTCCCCTCCTTCTGCAGCGGCAATGCGAACACGTGGTCCTCCTCGAATAGAGACAAAAGCCTGAGCTCTGGAACGAAGTGGCTGGCACTTTTTAAACCTCTTGGCGATGTCCCATGCACGAGTCTCACCGTTATCGGTAGCCGTTTAGTTAGTAACGTTTTCGCCGTGTGAACGCCGCTGATGTTCTCCTCTTTCGCAACAGCGGAGAACTTTCCCCTCTGGTCGAGGCTCAACAAGATCATATCGCCTTTAGTGTCCGTACATTTCAGATATTTGTTTTTCCCTAAATACGTTTCCCCTCTAGGCATGATGACCTCTCCAGCGGGAAGGTTTCTCGCGCCGTCCGCTGTAACATTTCCGTCTAGGTCTATCTTCGCGCATATCACCCTTACCGGCTCCCGTACTAAGCAGCCGTCCTCTAGCTTCCTCCTAGCCAGCTCTCCTACCGATTCTATGCATCTCACTGCCCTACCCTCTTCGCTCAACAGCTCGAAGTAACCTTTGTACGTCTCCGGTATAGCGAGTCTCGGACCAACGCTCACCATCCGCCGCCCCTCTTTCAGTTTGATCGCCTGCGCAATTATCTTCTTTCTCTTTCCCGCGGACACGAGTAGCGCGGTGCTCTGCAGCCCCGGACTGGGCAGGGTCGGCACTCCGAGGCCCCCGTACTGGCCCTTGATGATCTTGGCCACATTAGGCAACCGGTTCTTGACGACGAACTCCCTCAAGTAGTGGCCTTCGTCGGACCAACGTGATGCCGCTACCACGACTTGGCCGTCCGTGGCTGCCATCGTGGGCTTTAGTCACATCTGAAACAATTGGAAGGGCAAATATAAAAAAAAAACTGTATGATTGCATTGTACGATGAGGGCAATTTGTTACATTGTACCTTAACATCATCGAAGAATACGATGTTATACTTTATCCCAATTATTCTTGCTGAGCAAAACTTAAATCAATATTTCGACTCTAACTTCAACAGCACAAAAGTTATTCATTATATAATAAACTTTAAACAAATATCAAAATGCTTGATACAAGCGGATTTCACTTCTAATATTGGGTAAATGATGTATTGGAATTAATAATGTATACGTCTCAAATGGTTATGAACACAAACAAAAAACTGAACATAATTTTTGTTGTATTAAGGTAAAATTATTATGATCTTTTTTCTTATATCTAAATCATCATCATCATCATTTCAGCCTGTTTGAGTCCACCGCTGAACATAGACCTCCCCCATACTTCGTACTTCATGGCAGTCTATATCTAAATACAATCAAATAATTATAGAGCTTAATAACCATGTCTACAATCCTTCTCTGTTAGCGATCCCATAATTTTAGAACGATCTAACCCATAGGTCATACCCATTTGGATATGACAAGACAGTGGTTCATAGATATTATTATTAGTCTCCTTCATATTTTATCAGAAGTGAACAACATCTGGCGAAGCAACGAAAAAAATCGTAAATATATTGCATTCTTGATTTCACCCAACATGGATTGAAATCAACATATACCAAGTTCTTTAATTCAATGTTCTCCACGTGCTCCATGCTGACGTACCACAAACATAAATGAAACAAACAAAAAATGCCCTAAAAGGGAAAACTCGAATTCTCATTGGCGGCCTGGGAGTTCGCATGTCCAAATAAATAAATAAATATTTTAGGACACATCTTTAAACAACGTTATCTAGTCCCAAACTAAACAACGTTTGTACTATGGGTACTAGATAACTGATTAACATACTTAAACATAATTTTATTAATTTTAAAGTTTTTTATAGTGCTAATCTCTGCACTTAAGATTGAACATTAAAACATGTAGAAAAATTACGAAAAGATTGTCGCCGCTGTGGGAATCGAACCCACGTCTTCGGCATTCGCGGCCTGACGCTCTAGCCCCTGAGCTTAACGGCTGATAGCCACAGCGACGAAAATCTTAACGCCTTATTTCTACATTGTTATTTAGCATTTGAAACAATGCTTGGCGCATATATTGTTATATCCTTCCCGGCACACAAACAATTTGGAATATCGTTTTACAACGATAATTCGAACGAGAGATGTCGCCATTGCTTTTTATAAATTTTAAAGTTTTTTATAGTGCTAATCTCTGCACTTAAGATTGAATATTAATACTTTTATTATGTATGTAAATACACATACATATATAAACACCCAGACTCTGGTAAAACATTATGTTCATCAAACAATATCTAGTAGTGGGGATCGAACCCACACCCTCTGGCCCAAGAGGCAGGTTCCCTACCCACTACGCCAATCGGGTCCCCAACTTTTAAATGCCGTCCAAAGATTTCGTAATAGCCCCAGATATGATCAGCGGCTAAACAAAGAGTTCGCCCGTAACTGTTTAATGGAGATTATAACAGTGAACTGTAGTTTACGGTACCGCGTAGTCTACGAAGCCTCTTGTCCACAAAGCGGGCGGCACGCGTTCTTTTCGGCCAAATAGCTTCTACAGTGGGTGACCGTTACTCGGGCGAACCGACAGTGGACTGCTAAATTGCACGCTAGTAAAGGTGTGAGTGCTCTTTCGTTTTTTACATACATACTAGCTTTTTTTAATGTGTTAAAAAGTGTTAAACGAGCTGGCGGCTCACCTGATGCTAAGTGATAGCCGCCGTCCATGGACATTTGCGACTGGTAGGGTTTCAAATGCGTTGCCACCTTTAAATAAAGTGGGCCCTGTGTAGCTCACTCACCAGACGAAACTCAGAAGTGTAAACTTCACTTCTACATTACGCCGGTCTTCTGTGAGGTCGTGGAGCTTACCCGGACGGACCTGCCCATTCGTGCAACAGTGAACACTGTTGCGTAGCCTTACCACAGTTACGTGAGCCGGCTAACGTTGTTTTGCCGTATAAATTACTAGCAGGGTAAAAAAATTTTTTTTGTCATAAATCCATTCTTATACCTACTGAGAATATACATATAAAATTTCATCGAAATCGGTCAAGCCGTTTCGGAGGAGTATAAACGCTAAAACCGTGACACAATAATTTTACATATTATTATATTCACCTTTATTTTAAAATTGTTACTAACATTTCGTTTGTATAATTACTGTCACGTAAAATTTCGCTAATGCAAGCCAAGCCTTAACTAAGCCTGGCGATATGGAGTAGAACTTTTGACACAATGCCAGTGCTTTATTGCGTGTTTGAATCGCATAAGAATGGTCGCCGACACTCAAATTGGATTGTCTACAAAGAACTGGTAGTGATGAATAGCTTCATAATGACTACAGAAAAGTTACGACTAACTGTTGAAAAATTAATGACTAAATACAACAAATGAAAGATAAGCTCCATTAACTTATTCAATTATTATTTATTTTAAAAAAGCATTAACCCTTACTTTAGGGTAACATTGTCCTGTAATTTCACGACCATTTACAAACATAAATTTCATGCGGACAAACGCGCAGATGAGAAACAATTATCTGTCGGTCACACAAATAGTTGTCCCGTGTGGGAATCGAACCCACGAACCCCGACGCCATTTTTGATTCATGGATGAAGAAGGCAAACGAGCAAGCCACCTGATGGTTAGCGATTACTACCGCCCATGGACACTTGCAACATCGGACGTGCCACAAGTGAGCCTTTGAGGGAGGAGTTGGCTTTCTTCTTGAAAGCACACCTTAGTCAAATGTCTGTAACGGTAACTTACTTACGAACTTATGTGTTATTTATTTATTTATGTAAAACTAGCTGTGCCCGCGACCTCATCCGCGTGATAACATTTTTACAAACTTTGAATGCCATATTTATTTGTATCTAATCAACTAAACGGCTGATTGAAATATAACGCATTTTATGCTTCTTAGTTCTGAAAATGGCGCCACTATTGTTATATCTTTCCAGCATACAAACAATTTCGAATATCGTTTTACAACGATAATTCGAACGAGAGATGTCGCCATTGCTTTTTTATAAATTTAAATTGTTTATAGTGCTAATTTTTAAACGTTTAGCGAAACGAAATTGTTTGTATGCTTAACAATAGACATTGCTTCAAACTAAGAAAACTTGGAAGAATGCGTTAAGATTTTTCCCCCTTGTCAATCAGCCGTTTAGCTCAAGAAAAAATGTTTTTTGCAAAAATTAGCACTAAAAAAATAAAATGTACCTATGTTCTTTCTTAGGCTGTAGACTTTCTGTGTACCAAATTTCATTCAAATCGGTTGAGTAGTTTTGGCGTAGAAGCGAGACAGACAGACAGACAGAGCTACTTTCGCATTTATAATATTAGTATGGATTCTACTCTTCATAAGAACGCGCAAGCGTCTATTTGAAATATATATATATATATATATATATATATATATATAAAGATATTTTGAATTTGAATATATATCAGTTCCGAAATATCGCTGGCGTAGAAAACGCACAATGTTGTACCGCCAAGTTTTGCTGAGAAATTTGTGATTATGATAGCAAGGATCGTTGCCCCACATTTATACTCAACATACTGGTTTGATTTAAGTCGGTCTTTATAATTATACTGTACCGTTAGAGTTTCCGCGTATAAAAAGGTTTTATGACAAAGCGTTTCTCTAGAGAATATGCTAGCTCGTCTAGTTACCAACTAGTAGTGACCAACGGAAATATTAGGCGAGAATTTATGAGTAAAGGAACCCAGCCAGTTAGCCTGCTGCTAAGTTATTCATTTTTAACATTGCTGTGAACCTTAGCTGACTTAATCTTTTTAAACATTTAGTGACTCGATATTATCAGGTAGGTAGGGTGGGTTAGTGTTGTATCCGGAGAGTGGTGTTTCGCATATGGGTGGTGAAAAATATCAGGTGTAATATTAGTGTTTTCCACCTACTTTTACTGTGGTAGGACTACGTGAAAGTCTTCGCAACGCACGAGGCAGGGCCGTCAGGGGAAGACCACGATCTCCCATAAGACTGGTATGGATTGTAAGTTAAACTTCTGTGTTGCAGATGTGTTGCCACCTTTTAATAATGTGGGTCTTGGCTACCTCACTCACCGTTCGAAACGTAGAAGTGTAACACTTCTACTTTACGCCGGTCTTCTGTGAGGTCGTGGTACTAACCCGGACGGACCCGCCCATTCGTGCAACAGTGAATAATGTTCCGTGGTCCTACCACAGTACGGAACCCTAAAAAAGCTACATTTGAGAGATACCGCCGGGATCGAACCGCCGATCCCGCGACCAGCGACCATCAGCGCGTAACGTTGTGTTTCGGCGTTACATCAGCTAACCGCCATTGTTCGTGTACGTTGACCTTAACTTAGCTACACGCTAGGCTACCCACGATCCAGTTAATTTATACGGGACAGTTGAAAAATGTTGAATTTTAGTATTTGCTCTTTTATTGTTACTAGTCGCCCAGTGGTTGAAATTCGAGCATAATTAATTATACAATGTTTGCAATGTTTTTTTATTGATTTAATTTATTTTTTTGCATAAATAAAAAAATATTAGCATTGCACTCCTACATGTGAACTATAAGTATGGGAAATTTCATACACCTCCGTCCGCGCAATTTTCGTAAAAAGGTTGTACCCCTTTTTACGTTACGTCAAGTTTTTGCTTCAAGTATTACATAGAAGATTTTCAGTAATACTAAAAAAAAATTAAATTTAAAGCTAATTTACGGATTTTATTGGGACAGGCACAGGACAATCTGCACCGGATCTACAGATGCTGTAAAGTGATACAATCCTCAGAAGCTTCAAGGAAAAAATTGTGCCGCTTACATAATTTTCATTAAATTATCATTCA